GAAGGGGCGGGAGCCTCTTTCAATGAAGCCCTGCACTCTAAACCTTCAACCCTACACCCTAAACCCGAAACCCTAATTGAACCCTAAACCCGGAACCCTACCTAAACCCTAAACCCTAAACCCTAAACCCTAAACCCTAAACCCCAAACCCCAAACCCCAAACCCCAAACCCCAAACCCCAAAGCCCCGGAACCTTACCGAAACCCACAGCCGAGGCTGGGCACAGCTTGGACTCAAGGAGCTCGGCCTATGCGTGGGAGTTAGGGTTTAGGGTTTAGGGTTTAGGGTTTAGGGTTTAGGGTTTAGGGTTTAGGGTTTAGGGTTTAGGGTTTAGGGTTTAGGGTTTAGGGTTTAGGGTTTAGGGTGTAGGGTTTAGGGTTTAGGGTTTAGGGTTTAGGGTTTAGGGTTTAGGGTTTAGGGTTTAGGGTTTAGGGTGTAGGGTTTAGGGTTTAGGGTTTAGGGTTGGGGGTTACGGTCTAGGGTCTAGGGTTTAGGGTTTAGTGTTTAGAGTTTAGGGTTTAGGGTTCAGGGTTCAGGGTTCAGGGTTCAGGGTTTAGGGTTCAGGGTTCAGGGTTTAGGGTTGAGAGTTGAGGGTTTGGGGTTTAGGGTTTAGGGTTTAGGGTTTAGGTTTTAGGGTTTAGGGTGGGGGTTAACTATGGGTTAGGGGTTAGGGCTTAGGCTTTCCCGGGCGAATGGACTTTCACCAGGCCCAGGAGTAACCAGACCCAGGAGTAACCCCTAAACCCTAAACCCTAAACCCTAAACCCTAAACCCTAGGAATGACAAGGGCAACCTTCTTGGTTTTAAGGGGATTACAAGGGAACCCAACCCTTAAACAGGAAAATAAGGGCCTACTCCGGGTCCTAGTTCATATTATAACGCAAAAGGCCTCGTGTAGGGTGCGCATGGAGTACTCTGAGGTGGTTGAAGTCTGCATGGTTTTTTTCATTTCTGGTTTTGCATCTGGTCGTAGGTTTTCCTAGGGTTTCTGCGTGGCGGCTTCAGGGGGTTCATCCTTTGTAGGATTTGGGGTTCAAAGGCTTTTCAGGTTGTATGGCTTAGGCCCCGGGATTTCGGGTTGAGACTTCGGGCGTGTCACCTAGGCCTTCTGGGCTTCAGAGCTTTGGATTGTTAAAGCTTCTGGCTTTATGTGGGGGTGTCCGAAATTCGGGGTACCTTATTGGGGTCTTTATTATAAGGGAATCCGACTATTGGGGGACTCTATTCGGGCTCTCTTCTTTTCGTAAACCCCCATATCGGGCATCGTGCTCGTCTAGGGTTGGTCGTAGGGTTTGGCTTTCGTTGGGGGGTAGGGGTCGGAGAGGGGGGGGGGGGGGGGGGGGGGGGGGAAGGCCGTACCTAAACCGCCGTACCTACATGCAATCCCTTCATACCCTAAACCTTGGGATGCTCCGCCTTACACTAACAGCCCCTTCATAGGGATTGTATTGGGGGGGTACTAGAACCCCTTCTAGTATTACAAATACAAATTTAAAAAAAAAGAACTAAACCCCAAACCCTAAACCCTAAACCCTAAACCCTAAACCCTAAACCCTAAACCCTAAACCCTAAACCCTAAACCCTAAACCCTAAACCCTAAACCCCAAACCCTAAAACCTAAACCCTAAACACCCTTGGCCGCCTGCTTCGGGGAGGGGCCGAAGAAGTCGACCTCACCGGTCTCCAGCTTGTACACGGCACCTGAAACCCTAAACCCTAAACCCTAAACCCTAAACCCTAAACCCCAAACCCTAAACCCTAAACCCTAAACCTAGGCCATTCGAGTTTGGGATTCAAGGCTTTTAAGGAATGTCGGGGGCGCATAGGGCTTTCAGAGGCTTCTCTAAGGCCTGCAATGCCTTTTGGTTTAGGGTTTATAGGGTTTCGTGTTTAGGGTTAAGGCTTTGCAGGGTTTATGAGCTTTTTTGGGGTTTCATAGAGTTTGTGCGGTTTGTAGGGTTTATAGGCCTTCTAGCGGTTATAGCGTCTATAGAGTCTAAAGGCTTTACAGGGGGCTTAGGGCTGAGGGCTTAGGGCCTCTGTCGTCTCACTGTTGGAAGGCACGTGCCGAAGCTCCTCGTGTGCGGGCGCATGGATTCCAGACTTGCCCTACAAGCCCTAAGCCCTAAACCCCAAACCCTAAACCCGAAACCCTGAGACCCTACAAGCCCTAAGCCCTAAGCCCTAAACCCTAAACCCTAAACCTAAACCCTACACCGCAAGGAGGAGGTTCAAGCACTTCGCGTCATCGATGCCAGTCCGGGACCGCCCCCCCCAGCAGACAGCTTCTCTGGCGCTGCAGGTAAGTTCATGGGTTTCCCTAAAATAGGGGCCTTATAAGCAGAATTGGAATAGGGTTTTGGCGGTGGTTGTAATATCATAATAAAGAAATCATGAGGTAACATTTTCGTTTTTCTTCCAACCCCAGATAGTAAATAGCCTTCATTGTGGGGTTGTATAGACGGGGGTAGAGGGGGGAACCCGTGATTCATGGGGCTTCTTCCGGCTGGTTTTCTACACTGCTCAAAAGCCCTTTTCTGGCTCACGCAGAAGGCACTGGTCAACGCTTACATCGCAACGATGCGGCTCTTATTCGAGACGAGGACGAACTCGGGTCATTCGTCCTGCTGCGAAACGTAAAAGATGCGGTTGGAGCAGTTGAATGTTAGTATGTTATAGTATGTTATAGTATATTATAGTAAATTATAGTATATTACAGTAAATTATAGTATATTATAGTATAATTTAGTATATTCTAGCACATTACAGGATATGTTCACGCGCATGGAGCCCGAATGGCAGTCCTGCTGCGCCACATGTGGTGCACAGCACGCCCTCGACAATTTCAACCATGGTTGCAAACCGAGCTAAGCCCTAAACCCTAAACCCTAAACCCTAAACCCTGGTTAAGCTATATCAAACTAATCCAGTAGTATTGTGAAACAGTGTATGATTGCATTAGTTTACACTCGTACAGGATTACATTCTTACATCATCTCAGTAGTATGATGAACATTTTTTCGCTTCACATTGCATCAGTTCTCGTATGATACTATAAAACTGACATGTTGTACCAAATGATCTTAGGTCTACATGTCATTAACATGTTGTACTGAAAGATCTTATATGTCTATATGTGCACTTATTGTGTTACCTCATTATTATCTGATTATATAAAGAAACATTCCTGCATTTTAATGACAATAAACATATCATGGAGGTATGGTTTATGATTAAGTTGTGATAATGCTATGTTACGATATTGTTGTATTATGTTGTTGTATGACTACATCTATATGCACATATAAATGAGCACGTATGTTTTCGTATACTTTGATGTTGTTTAGAACTACTTTCCATTATTATTGTTATTGTGGTATCATATTGCTTAGAATCTTGCATCCAGATTTTCATTTATTGTTATATTATCATTGTACTATGCTAAATAGCATTCATCTAGTGTTGTATTCGTATGGTGTATACTACCAGATAACTGCTAGATTTCTTGGCACAAAGGGGTTGCATCCGAGAGCACGTGAGGCCCGCAACTACTCCATGGCATATCGACGTCGCAAATGGCTTCACCCCAAACCCTAAACCCACCCTAAACCCTAAACCCTAAACCCTAAACCCTAAACCCTAAACCCTTGAACCCTAAACCCTAAACCCTAAACCTGGAACACGGCCGGGCCGCCTTCCGCGCACTTGGCATTCCCAAGCTGGAAGGGAAAGAGTTCGTGGACCCGGGAGCAGCTAGTTGCTGCCGACAACAGGTACTAGTTGGGATGTTCCCCCTTATACTGATAAACAGGTTTCAGGGTTAGGGTTTAGGGTTTAGGGTTTAGGGTTTAGGGTTTAGGGTTTAGGGTTTAGGGTTTAGGGTTTAGGGTTTAGGGTTTAGGGTTTAGGGTTTAGGGTTTAGGGTTTAGGGTTTAGGGTTTAGGGTTTAGGGTTTGGGGTCTGGGGTCTGGGGTCTGGGGTTTGGGGTTTGGGGTTTGGGGTTTGGGGTTTGGGGTTTAGGGTTTAGGGTTTAGGGTTTAGGGTTTAGGGTTTAGACTTGGAGGTTCATGGTACTTATGAACCCAATAAAAGCTGCCTTTTGACCCAATTATTCCCACATTAGGGCACTTAAGGGGCTCATAAGTACAGTTAGAAGTACAGTTATGATTGCGGAATGGATACCATGAATCTCCAAGTACTAACAGTCCTTAGTAGGGATGATGATGGGGGGGGGGTACTCTAATCCGTATTAAGGGTTGTTAATTGAAGGGGGAACATCCCAAAGTATCAGAGCTATGGACAAGGAGAAGGGTTTGTACTCCCCCAAGCTCCACAAAAACCGGACCAACCCCAAACCCCAAACCCTACCAATCTTGATGAACTTTCTGAGGCCGGGCCTTCAGAGATTCATACTTGGAACGTACACAGATGTTTCCTCAGTGTACAGACACCACCCTGCCTCGAGCGAAGCGAAGGGCTGTGACAAGATGCAGATGATCCGGGCTTCGCTCTTGGGGTAGCCGCATGGTCCCTGAAATATGGGCCCTTAAAAGGGGACCCCTAAAAAACACCTCGTAAACACACAACCCAAGGGCCCATACATCAGAACCCTTGAAGAAGCTAAGGGGCCATATTAAGGGGCCATGAAACTACCCGAAGATTAGCTGCGCAGGGTTTACCCTATTGGTCGTAGAAATGCCGAGGCAGAGTGGAAAAGGCCTGCCTGTGGAATAGGCTTGTAAATGTTCGCTACCAGTAACGAATAGCAGGAGTGGCCAGCTGTGCATTTTGTGATCAAGAGCCGAGCCCTAAACACCCCACAGAATGCCCAATGCACAACACCCTCCTCTCCATTCCCCATACAAGGGCTACCAGAACTGAAATGTAGCGTTTATAGAGTGGATGGGGTTCAATATAAGGCTGACCTGTACCCGTCCCAGAAAACCCAATCGCACGCGGCAACTCCTCTCTAAGAACATCCGACCAAACTGGTCCATTTGTTACAAGTCGCGCTGGGCTTCGCTCTCACTGTTGATTGTGAGTTTGATCAGCGCCTGTCGCATTCTCATTGGGGAATGATCAAGGTTCCAAGCTGTCACGAAGTAGTTGACTTGCTCCGGGGTAGCCTCCTCAGGCTTGCCATACCTAGTTCATGGTTGGGAGAGTACTAAAAATTTGAATTTATATTCCTTATAGGGTTTAAGTACCCTTAAACATGCAAAATCTTACCCAACCTATGACAAAGATACACCAGGCCAGATCGCTCGTCCAAAGTTACTCCGGGAGGAAGCCTCGGAGCCACGGAGAAACGGTAGCCCTGGAGGTGAGCGGCAGAGGAGGGCCTCATCTCCTTGGTAGCCCACAGCAACCACACTCTAACTTGGCTGCACTCAGGAGGGTAGACTATAAATTACTTTTTTAGCTGCCTAAGATAAGAAACCCAAGAAACCCAAAAAAGGTAAGGATCTAAAGTTACGTAAAGTACCACAAAGACTCTAATAAGGATCCCCTTTTTCAGGGGTTGGCTCCATGATAAGGGAACCCTGACCCCCCAAATTCAGAGTAGCCATACTGCAATTAAAAGTACCCTCTTTGGGGGTTGGATACTTTGGCCCAAGAATAAGGGGCGTAGTTGTCCAGTACCTAGGGGTGTTAAAGGTCCACCTTTGGGATTCTAAGGGGAATCATACCACCCCAAAAAAGGGCTAAAGGCTGCCGACTCTACTAAGAGGGATACTTTCATAGTAACCATACTACAAGAAGGGGACCCTTTTTGGGGGGTTGGTTCTTTGACCAGGGTTTAGGGTTTAGGGTTTAGGGTTCAGGGTTTAGGGTTTAGGGTTTAGGGTTTAGGGTTTACGTTTAGGGTTTAGGGCACTGGGCTACCAAGTCTCCACAAGTTGCCCCACGCGAACTTCGAGGTTGCCGGGCACGTACTGCATGAAGATGTCAGCCGGGTTTGCAAGGGAGTCCTTGGTAGCTTGGGATGTTCCCCTTTGTACTTTTAGGGTTTGGGGTTTAGGGTTTAGGGTTTAGGGTTTAGGGCCCGGTAGCCCAGCAACCATGCTGTAGCAAGGGTACCCTTTTTGGTTTAGGGTTTAGGGCTTGGGGCTTGGGGCTTGGGGTTTAGGGTTGGGGTTTAGGGTTTGGGGTTTAAGGTTGGGATGTTCCCCGGTTTTCTAACAGCCCTGAATTCGGATTATAGTACCCCCTATTATAACCTCCATTAAGGACTGTTAGTATAAGGGGGAACATCCCACTTAATAAACATGCTATACTAAGGGTACCCTTTTTTGTGGATTGGTTCCTTTTGTAAGGGAACCCTGACCCCTAAACCCTAAACCCTAAGCCCTAAACCCTAAACCCTTAACCCCAAACAAAACAAGAAGGGGCAAAAGGGGGCCACCAAGGATCGGCAAGCATGTGGTCCCCCGGCGTCGGAGACGAAGGCGACGACAAGGTTGAAAAGTAGTCTCCCAAAACCTATACTCCCCTTAACACCAAAAATGAAACCAAAACATTTCAATTCCCCTTGGGTTTGAAAGAACTAACCCTAAACCCTAAACCCTAAACCCTAAACCCTAAACCCTAAACCCTAAACCCTAAACCCTAAACCCTAAATGCACCAAATATTTCCTAAGGAGGGCAAAAGGAACCGCAGCGGCGACTTTGGACTGCTGCGGATCTGTCAGGCGTGAGGTCAAGAGCAACACAGCACCGTTCCTTGGTAGCCCAGTAGGGTTTAGGGTTTAGGGTTTAGGGTTTAGGGTTTAGGGTTTGGGGTTTAGGGTTTAGGGTTTAGGGTTTAGGGTTTAGGGTTTAGGGTTTAGGGTTTAGGGTTTAGGGTTTAGGGTTTAGGGTTTAGGGTTCTGATAAGGGCACCCTGTTTTTGGGGTCAGTTACTTTATAAGGGAACCTTGAACCAAAAACAGGAAAAAGGGTACCCTGTGTTGGGTTATAGTTACTTTATAAGGGAACCTTGAACCAAAAAGAAGGGAAAAGGGTACCACTGGGCTACCCAAGGTTCAGCAAGAGCTGGTACAGCCCTTCCAGATCGACCTCTGCCCCGGAGCCGTTTGGCCAGGATCCATCCACCGAGGATCCCGAGCCTCCCGAGGGCTCGCCGCTCGTGGTGGCGCTGCTGTCGCTGACTGACCCATCTTCAAACCTCACGGCTCGCCGGGTGCCCGGAAGAGCCTTCTTCACACCCCAAGCTGCGGCCATGTGCGCGAGCTCGCGAAGTCTGAGGCTGAGGATACTTGAAGATGGGGTTTGGACCGCACGTGGCCGGGCGGCTTGATGCAGCTATCGGAACCTCAAGTGTCATGTAGAGCACACAGGCCCTCCCTATGACGACCGAACCAGAACTACTATTTGCTTAAGAACCCCAAAAAACACAGCAAATAATCCCCACATTGCCCTTACAAGGACGAGTATCTTTGTTTTCTTGGGGGGGGGGGGGGGGATTCCGAAGCAAATAGTAGAGGAGTAGACAGCAAAGGCGCCCGGTGTGTTCAGGGGTCCATGTCCGAGGGTTGGCGTTTGGCAATAAAGCTCCTCAACTCCCACATTCCTGAACCCTGAACTGCCCTTTACCTAGGTTTAGGGTTAAGTTTAGGGTTTGGGGTTAAGGGTTTAGGGTTTCGGGTGTCACAGTTGAGGGGGCGCGCTGGTGCTCAAAGCACCCAGGCGCGCGCGCGCCCCGACTTGTTGCACCCCGCTTAAGAGCTTTGGGAGGTTTTGGAGTGAATCAATGGGAGAATCTGGCAGGTGTCCGGGAGGCTTCGGCGTCTGAGGTTTGGTGTGTTGCGGGTTGGGCTGGCGCCTTCGCCCCTTGGTGTTGCAAGGGTTGATGTACATCAGTTGCGTTGGCGCTACAAAGGATGACGTATATCGTTCTGACGCAGGTTGAGGCCTTTCAAACTTAAAAATCCTTAGAAACCTTTGGAGGACCAAACCCTAAACCCTAAACCCCAAACCCTAAACCCTAAACCCTAAACCCCCCCCCCCCCCCCCCCCCCCCCCATTTCGGAAATCCCCGCATCACCACCCCCTCGGTCCCTGGCCATGGATCTCCAAGTCTCCGCTCCTGGCCAGGGCTCGCTTTCCACGAATAGGGTTTAGGGTTTAGGGTTAGGGTTTAGGGTTTAGGGTTTAGGGTTTAGGGTTTAGGGTTTAGGGTTTAGGGTTTAGGGTTTAGGTTTAGGGTTTAGGGTTTAGGGTTTAGGGTTTAGGGTTTAGGGTTTTAGGGTTTAGGGTAGGGTTTAGGGTTTAGGGGGGTTTTTAGGGTTTAGGGTTTAGGGTTTAGGGTTTAGGGTTTAGGGTTTAGGGTTTAGGGTTCAGGGTTCAGGGTTCAGGGTTCAGGGCGGGTTCAGGGTTCAGGGTTCAGGGTTCAGGGTTCAGGGTTCAGGGTTCAGGGTTCAGGGTTCAGGGTTCAGGGTTCAGGGTTCAGGGTGTGGCAGTGGGAGGTTTAGGGTTTAGGGCCCAAGAGGTTGGGGTTGTTAGTTCTACAGTTGAGTAGTAGCTACCTGAGTTAATCTTTGTTAGTAGGCATACCCCATAAAACTTTAGGTAAAGAGGGTTCCAGGTAAGCCCTACACCCTAGCTTTTATGCAGGTGTGCACCCGGGGTTCAACCCTAAACCCTAAACCCCAAGTTCTTCAGCGCACGCGACGGCAGAGGCACAAATCCCCAAACCTGCTGCCAAAGCGCCCAAGGGGCTGCCCAAACTGGCCCCGGAGGGGGGGGGGGGGGGGGGGGGGGGGGGGGGGGGGGGGCCGGGGGGGGCGGGGGGGGAGGGGGGGGGGGGGGGGTGTGGGGGTGGGGGGGGGGGGGGCGGGCGGGCGGGGGAAGGGTTTGGGGCTTAGGGGGTGCTTGGGGTCTTTAAGTCGTTGCCCAAGCCTTGCGACTCATGTTTTGAGGTTCAGGGCACACCTGCGCCTATCCTCATGGGGCTTAGGAGTTCAGGTGGATTAAGGCTAGGTGAGGGTTGGCCCTCAACCCTCAACCCTGTAGCTCTCAGCATCTCTTTGTGCGCAGGGATTGAAAAATGCTCAGAGAGGCACGCGGATGGGCTCGCTGAACTTGAGGAGGAAGTTGATCGTGTTGAAAACGTTCACCTTTGCAAATGTTTAGGGTAGGTCTAGGGTGCAACAGTGTGTAGGTGGGGCTTAGGAGATCGAGAGCTAGAGGCTAGGGGTCTCGGAGTTGTTTTTTTTGAGGGCTGGGGTCGAGGGTTCAGGGTCAGGGTTTACGCCTCGGGGGGATGAGCACGGGCTGTTCTGACTATCCGAAACCAAACCCAAAAATGGAGGAGGGCGTAATCCAAAACCCCAATCCTCCTATTGAGAATGGTGGGCTGCAGCCCATGGTCCAGGCTGAACCCCCCGAACTCGAAAGCTTGGGGGGCTTTCCGAATCATAGGGCCCGAGGGAGCATCGTGCGCATCAGCCACCCGGTCCTTCCACGAACCCTCGCTCATTCTAGGGGCCTCCGGGCCTGCGAGCATCAGACGAACAGTCTTTCTACAGGCCTGGGAGCATGTCATCAGCAACCGCCGCTCGGTCTTTCCACGGGCCCACATCACATCCCATGCAGCATCATGAGCATCAGTCGCCCCGTATTCCTACGGGCTGCCTGGTCATGAGAATAAGGTTTAGGATGAGACGGACGGGGATATAGACCCTCTCAATAAGGCCCCTGTTTAAGAGAGCCAGAATTGGCTTCAGAAGGGTTCCCTTTTCAGGCCGACCCCCCTCCCCTCCCCTTATCCCAGGCGATAATTTCGTCGCCGAGCTAGGCATCAGCCATCGGCCACTCATCTTCCACGCGCCCACGAGCATCATGAGCACCAGCCGCACCACGGAAACCCCACTATCCACCTCCAACCCTGTAAACCCCGAACGCCCCTTAGGGTTTAGGGTTTAGGGTTTAGGGTTTAGGGTTTAGGGTTTAGGGTTTAGGGTTTAGGGTTTAGGGTTTAGGGTTTAGGGTTTAGGGTTTAGGGTTCGGGGTTCGGGGTTTAGGGTTTAGGGTTTAGGGTTTAGGGTTTAGGGTTTAATGTTAACCTCACATCTATAAATGGGGTGGCAACTGTAATATTCGCCGGGCCAAGGGGCTCAGCCGAAGACTACTTTCCATTACGGGAGGTTTTCGGGCCGATGTGTGTAAACAGGTCTATATAGGGGGGTCCGGTGAAAATAATAATGGGGTGACAACAGTAATATTTGGCCGGCCAGGAATCAGAAATTTTACTTGCAGAGAAGACTTTTCGAGCTCCGAGGCTCTAGAGAAGCAGATCTCGTTTGAGATTGACCAAGCACAGCAGACCCTGACAGCTAACCCCCCCAAGACCCCCAGAATCCGCATTATTGGCACCCACTCGTTTTTTCTACCCCTCCAAACCCCGGGGACCAAAACAAGTTTTTTTTTTTTTTTTTTGGGGGGGGGGGGGTTATTAAAGCGACGTTTAGGGTTTAGGGTTTAGGGTTTAGGGTTTAGGGGGTTTAGGGCCCTAACCCCCCCCTAAACCCTAAACCCGAACGCCCCGGAACCAACCCTGCCCCCCTCCAAGAACCCTCGATCCTCCCCCTGAACCCTAAGCCCTAAACCCCAAACCCCAAACCCCAAACCCCAAACCCTAGACCCTAAACCCTAAACCCTAAACCCTAAACCCTAAACCCTAAACCCTATACGGGGGGAACCGAAGGGGGACGAGAAACCGAACAGTCAACCCCAACAGAAGCCCTTGATTTCCCTGGATCAACCACACAACAAACCCAAACCACAGGGCACTCACCTTTTACTACCAGGCACATGGCCCAGTCTTGAGCCATAAAAATGATTTCCGGGTTTATTAACCCTTTCAACTTCCAACACTAACTCTTTTCTACAATACCAGCAGCAGCTCCGCACTCCCCCTGTCCTAGGATTTCCTAGGACACGTTGGAGGTGCAGATCCTGGGCCAAAAACCACCGTTTAGGCAGCAGCCAGCTGCTTGAAATGCACATTATGGTTTTACGTCTTCCAGGACGCCCCTTCAGCTCATTGGCCGAATCCCTTACCACTGAGGATTTCTTCACCTCGAACTTGAAAAAGTTTACGTTCCAGCGGCCCGTTCCTCACCAAGGAACTCAGCATTCACCACCCAGCCATCCTTGAGGCAATGCTTGCAAAGCGTCTTAGCCCTGGGCTGTGAATATCGCAGAACATCACAATCACTGCTTGCGTGCATACAGTTCCCACCCACTGTTGTATACAGAGTGGCACTCGCAGGAATAACCACCACTTTCTTGATCCACAGCCATTTGTACAGCCGCCGAAAGAGGCACCATGTCAATTCCCAGATTATGATTGCTGCCACCAAATACGCAACAAGGTCTGAATTGTTGATAACCATTTCAATACCTTGAGCCAGAACCATAACCGTAGATGTATTGGCGACCTGGCACACCCCTTCTTCTGAGCAAAAGAAACCAGCAGCTGACACTTCTTCTCCACCTGTTGCCATCCCTTGCAGGGATGCAGCCACCATCATGACCGCCATTGCAAGAGAGGCCCTTTTCAAGTCAGTTCCTTGCACTAACAGTTGGAGACCCCAAAGTGCCTTTTGCTTTGCATAAACCTGTCCACTCATCAATTTTGTCAACAGATCAGCAATCATATACTCACCACGAAGATGCGCTATCACCATGTAACCACGGTCCACCAGAGACCTGACACC